TCGGAATAGAATCCTGATGTATCACGCCTGTTCATCCGTTAGCGAGAACAGAATGTATTTGTCTATATATAGTTTTTAATTTCAACAATTGCACGACGGTATATGAACAGCTAAATTCACAGAAGAACCGTTTTACTTTTAAATTTCTACCTAGACTATCGATATACCTGTTTTCTTATAAAGAATTTCTAAAGTAATTTGAAACATCATATTCAAGGGTAGAAGTTCTAAAATAGATAAAATAGTAACAGCAGCTGTTTTTAGATTCATGTTTATTTAATAAAAATTAAAATTAAAAATTTTTTTTAAAAATAAACTTTTTATAAAAATAAAGTTGACGTTTCGAAAGTTGTAATCTTCATTATCAAGACAATATAGACGCTTAACACGATATAAAGTTAAAACAAATATGACTGGATAACTACACAAAGGGAGTAAAATACATTTTTTTTGTAGTACGAGAGAGAGAAAGAGAGATTATTTTATTTTTATAAAAAGGTTTATTTTTAGACAATATTTTTAATTTTTATTTTTATTAAATAGACATAAATCTAAAAACAGCTGCTGTTAATCTTTCATCAATTTCTAAAGTAATATTCAACCTCACAGTATGAGCAATAATTCTCTACTCAGGACCAAAAATACTTTAAGGAACTTCAGGCATAATTCTCTTGGTGTGGTCTGTAGCAGAGAGTATCCTGAGCCAGATCTCAAGAGCTCGGATCACCTCCAATCCCATTAAAGAGTTGAAGTTTCGACCCATGCGTTTGCCTTACGTATAGTTACAACTGTTATTGTTAGTCCTACTATCCGTTCCAAATGGTCAGACCGCTGGTTGCTTTTTGAATAACTTTTGATAGCAATGAGACAGGGACCTGCGATTTTCGCTGTTCAATAGCCAAGAGGACCTAACTATATGGGATACTATATCGGATACTGTAAAGTAATAAGAGTACGATTCGATTGAAAAAACACATTTTGTAACAATATCTATGAGAAATTTGTAACAGAATGGATTGACGCGTATTCGGTCACTGACATATCATGATGGAACTAAGGAGGTAACCTCGCTAAGTGTCCGAGCGATCATGCAGACATTAGATGAAAAAATGAAATTGTGCTTTTTAAAGTTTTGAATGGTGTCAACTATACTTCGATTAATAGCCTATTTAATGGCATAAAAACTATCATTTCAGTATTTAACTAAAAAAAGGCAGTATGAAAATTAGGTCGACAAACATGAAGTGAACTGAAGAATAACACTTTTTAGGGTAGCACTATTGCCACCTCCGAAGGTGACAATGGAAGGAGCCATTGTCAACTTCCGAAAGTGTATTACTGACACCTTCGCGATAATAGCCGTTACTGAGTCACTAACGGCTATTACCACCTTCCGAGGTGTCGACAAGGCGCTATTGCCATATTCTATCGGTGTCAATTAGAGCTTCATCTAAAACTAAGTACATAATAAAGTGGTGGCAAAAAGTTATGCAATGTATGGCACATTATCGTGTCACAAGAAAAAACAGATCGCAACGAGTATATTAATATATAATGTTGATTGTATATTGATAAATAACGCAAGAAAGAGCAGGCGTATACGACGATTCTGGACCGCAATATAAAGCAAGGAAAAAAAGGAAAAAACTACTGCATCGCATCTTACTTGTACTTGTCCGTGCTCTGCCACTCATGCATGTTAAATCTAAGCAACTAGTTTGCCTGTTTTCCTACATGATAAGTCAGTGTTAGTTGCAGAACACGCGTGTGCTGTCAATTACTTTTTACTTTGATGAAAAACACAGAACTATCAATGCGCAATCAACCGTTATTTGCCTTGTCATAGTTACTAAAAAACATGCAATATAGTTGTATTTTTAAAACATACACGTTGAATTAAGTTAAAGTCTGTCGGGACATTATGGATACGATTAAAGCTAGTGTTGAGAAAATTAAAGATAAAATAACCGAACATACAGCTGTACGAGAATATGAAAAATCGATCGATTTATTGGGCACAGATGAAGGTCGTATGGAACATGCTGCCAAATGTCATCAGAATGTTATGAAACTGGAAGAACATGCAATCAACGACGCACTCAAACAACATGATAGATAAACCACATCATATTTATATATAATTCTTAATTCGTTAAACAGACAATACATTTATTTTTAAAGCACATGTCGCTTTTCTTCGCTTTTCGTTCAAAGTAAGTCTCTGCAGAGGGTACTGTTGTGCTCGGTAAGGAAGAGACAGTGATTAAAAGTGAACGAAAAGAGATCCTACATGTTGTAGTGCTCTCATCCATATTGTATACTATATAATATATAGTACATATAATATATAGGGACCGTGATCGAAATCTTTTTTCTGACCGAAATTGGGACCCGAACCAAAATTCTTTTACCAGAACCACAAACAACACTTTTTGTTATTAGAAATGATAATTTTTACGATTGTGAAAGACTTCTATTGGATGTCATATTGTCACAACTCATGTGTTATAAATCTTGTTCTAAGACACTGCAAAAATCATTGAGTCGAGATAGTAAAGTTGGACCAGGACCAGGACTAGATCGGGACGGGACCGGACCGGGGCAAGACCAGGACGGGACCGGGACGAGACCAGCACGAGCCCGAACCGAAAAAGGCTCATGTCTCGATTCAAAGCGTTCACCAAAGGGATTTATCAGAGTGATAATATTACAATGCCAAAACAAAAAGAAATTGAACATGGGAAAAGATCCGAGCGCATTTTGTAACATTCAAGACCGGTAACTTATAGGAAATCATAAGACCAGCGTTTTCCAATATGTCAAGCATGCAATATTGAATTTTGCCGGGCAACGCCGGGTACTTCAGCTAGTACAATATACAGTACACATGGATACCATTCGTTGATAATTCAGACAGCAGGTGACTGCCCAGTGTTGTCGACCGGGTCACTTGGAACGG